ACCTGCAGTGCGCCTATCAGGCACTCAGGCAGCAGTGACCTCACAACCAGTCTCTAAGCCATAAGCCTGCTGGGAAGGTGAAAGAGTTAATTACAGCATGCACTAGAGAAGATAATGACAGCATTCCATGGCAGGGGAGCAAAATAAATTAATGTGGGGGAAAAAAAAAAGAGTAAATAGTATTTGAAGCATCTAACAAGATGCCCAAGCCTTTCTCAATTAAAAAAAAAACCCTTATTCTGTTAAAAAAGTAAAATACATAACCGTACATGAAAGCCTAATGTCATGGAAATGTGTGAAGGTGTGCTGCAGCAGCAGGTGAGATGTAGCATCACTGATGAGAAACTGCACTGCACTTCTAGGACCTGCACCCAGCACCCATGAGTGCAAAGGCAACAGGAGCTGCCCCTGCAGCCCCATCCCTGGCAGCAGGTCCTGGAGCTGCCACAGTGGCTGCATGCAGTGACACTGCTTGGGGAACCAAGGCCAGAGAGAAACCACCATCTTCCTGGTTCGGTCGCTGCTGCAGGGAAAGCGCAGCGCAGGCTGCTGAGGTCATGTGGGCTGTGGTTTGTGCACCTGCAGGTGAGACTTTTGTCTGCTTATCAGCCTCGTCAAGGGAATAACAGGCTCTTGGGTGAACACCCTGAGAGGTGGGGGGCTCTGAACTCCTAGGCTGCCCTGTCTGCTGTCAGAGGAGTGAAATGTCCCAGCTCCCTGCTCCGGACCAAGGCACCAGGACCAGGCTGTCTGAGAAGGGGTGGATGAGACCGCACTCACAGGATGTGTCTCTGGCCATGGCTAAGAGACCTTTCACTGCTGCTGCTCCCAGCACAGCGGGGCTGTAGCGGGATCAGGGGCTGTTCCTCTTTCCTTCCCTTCCTGACACAGACCATCCCAGGGACAATCCCAGCTCCACAGTTCTTATGGTGTGGGGAAAGCTGGACACTTGCACCTTGGACACTCAGGCAAACACAGCATGTGAGATCCCCAAAGTTCCCAGTCACCTGAGTGGACCCACTTCCCTCCATGGTCTGCCCTGTCCCACTGGGATGGGCCCCATGATGATGCCCCAGAACAGTGGCCATGACATCCGCAGTGGAGTCGTGCCACATATATGGTCATGAATGGCGCTCGAGATGTTCATTGGAGGGCTGGGCTGTGTCAGAAGGGAGATAATCTCTGATAACATCTAAAAAAGGTGCCTGCTGCTTTGATTGGCTCGTCCAGGAGCTGGGCCAGCACCTGCAGATATATATTGGCCTCCCATGTTTGTTATACTGCACTAGTCTCCAGGATTTGTGGTAGGGATAGTGTACAGCAGGGCAGTGCCTTCAGGACAGGAGGCTGCAGATGGAAACAGAGGTACTCCTCATCTCTTGGGTGCTGTAGTTCTTGTCTGGGTGCAGCTGTGCTGGGGAAAGTGCATGTTCCCTAACCCATGGGCACAGGGCCAATGGGCAGCTGTGGGGTCATTGGGATCGCTCTGGAAACGTTGGATCTTCCCTCAGAGCAGTGAGACAAGGGTCAGAAGTGCTCAAGTCAAGATCCTATTAACCTCTGCGTGGGAGAAGGGCATTGGTGCTTCCAGGGCTCCTGTGCTTTTGGCAGTCGGTGCCTGGGTGTTAGAGGCATCTCATCCTTGCCACCCTTTGAGGACATCCTTTTCTCCCAGCTCTGTGGCCCTGGAGCTGGTGGTGGGTCAGCTGATGACTGTAGCACTCAGCGATCCCAGGGCACAGCTAACCCGGGGTTGCCAGGAGGGTTTCTGTGCTGTTCACTGTCCCGAAGTCAGGGTTGCCTGGCCCAAGGAGGGGCAGTTTGTGCCCTGCAGAGAGAAGGAAACCAGGGTGTCTGTGCTCACCCTGCAGCAGAGAGGCGTCCAAGGGCGGGGGCTGAGCTCTTCCCCATAGGTGAGGAGGGAATGAGGGTTGGGACAGAAGATGGGGATCCTCTTGGTGTTCCCTGGGGATCTATAAAGCCCTGAAGCAGATGAGTGGATTTATGGGAGATGGGTGCCTCCCATCCATGGTGAGTTGGGGCAGAGAAACTGGATCCCTGGCCCAATCAAGAATGTAGAGGGGAGAGGTCTCACACGCCAGAGTCTGGGACTCAGCCCTAGGACCCTACACAGTCACTGTGCTGGGACTCTGTGCCCTCTTAATGGGCCCTGTGTCTGTGTTTGAAGGTGCTGCAGAGGGGAGGCTGGAGGATGGAGACAGCCGCTGTGCTGGGAGAGTGGAGGTGAAACACCAGGGCCAATGGGGGACTGTGTGATGACTGGGAAATGGAATATGTTGCTGTAGTTTGTAAGCAGCTGGACTGTGGATCTGCTCTCCAAGCCACTCAGTGCGGATATTTTGGGTCAGGATCTGGCCCAATTTGGCTGTACTCTGTAAGCTGTCAAGGCACTGAGAATACCTTGTCTGAGTGCACACATGATAACTGGACTAAAGATTTCTGCACTCATGCTTTTGATGCTGGAGTGATTTGTTAAGGTAAAGAATCATCCAGTTCCTCACCTCTGGGGTCAGGCCTGGGGTCAGGGGACTAACCGGGCTGTGACCTGAAGGAGCAGTGTGTGGGCACCAGCTCTGGCCCTGATGTGGCTACTCCCACTGTCCTTCTGCAGCTATTGCTGCTGCTCTCCCTGGGGAAAGTCCCAGGTGAGCCCACCACGGGGTACATAGACCCCATCAGGGTCTTTGGGGATCATCCCACCCTCAGGTGGTGCCTCAGGCTGGGAGATGAACCCCCACCCTGCCCTACAGGGTCTCTTGGACTCCACTGATCTCCTCAGATTCTTCCAGGACATTCCTGGCAGTGCTGGCTGTCCCTGTGCCCCAGACCTCAGGATGACTTGTTTGGCACCCCATGGCTGGCAAAACAGCACAAGATAGCACAGGCTCCTAGAGTCATTCCCCTCACAGACAGGAGTGCCTTGCTTGACCCAAAGGGGCTTTACAGAATGAGCAAGAGCAGGACCTGGTGTAGAGAAGCGGGGTGATGAGTAGGGCACCCCTTGTCCAGGCCCCCCCCTCAAGGACCAGCCCCCCATGAGCCCTGGGTTGGTTGCTGCGGAGCCACTGGCTGCTCCTTCCCACATCACCACTGGGTCAGGCTGGTCCTGCTGGGTCCGTGTCACTGACACTTCTGACAGTGCAGGACACCCTGGGAACAGGGAGCAATTTGAGCTGCTCCGAGGCGATTCCTCAATCTGACTCCTGAGTTCTGTAGGGCTGAACAGGCTGCAGCAATCCTTAGCACTGTGGTGCTGAGTACTGGGCCACTGGGGCAGTCTCTGTGGCAGCAGCATTTCCCTGAGCAATGCCTGTAGGGTCTGTGCTATGGGTCTGTGATCCAGACAAGCTCCAGAGCTTGGATTTTGGAGGAGGTGCAGGGGAAGTTGAAGGGTTTGTGTCATCAGAACCTACTGAGAGCTGCTGTTTCACATTAATGGGATCCTTTGGATGTGGTTGCAATGGTATGTAACTGCCAGAAGCTTGTGGCAACTCCTTGTCATCAGGGGTTTATTTATTTATTTATTTTTCCCAAGGATTTGTTCAGCTGGTTGGAGGGAACAGCCCCTGTTCAGGACATGTGGAGATCAGAGATGGAGACCAGTGGAAAACAGTCTGTGACTTACACTTTAGTGTGAAAGCTGCAAATGTCATCTGTAGGGATCTGTAGTGTGGCATAGCCCTGTCTGTCCATGACGGAGCTCACTTTGGAGAAGGGGTTGGTCCCGTCTGGGATGGAGAGCTGCAGTGTGTAGGGGATTCTTCCTCTTCTCCTGCCCCAGGAGGTCCCTCAGTAACCAGACCTGCAGCCATGCCAACCATGCTGGTGTCACCTGCACATGTGAACATTTGGGGAGGAGGTATGAAATGCCACTCACAAGCTATATGCTAAGAGATAGGGGAGCAAGAAAGTGATCATGCTGAGCATGGTGTGAGTGCAGGAGGGATGGAGTTGTTATCTACAATCCTGCAGTGCTGGAAGCAAAGGAAATTGAATCTCTGTGGCATTTCTCTCTTGGGATAATGAGCTAGGGAACAAAGTGATGCTCTCTAAAGACCCTCGTTTCCCCTTGTAATATATCCAGGATTCAGGCTGGTGAATGGCAGCGTGGAGTGTTCAGGACGAGTGGAGATCGAGGTGGAAGGGACCTGGGGTGTGACTCTGACTGGGATATCTCCGATGCTCATGTTCTCTGTCATCAACTTAACTGTGGATTTGCTAAGTCCATTCCTGCAGGAGGGCACTCTGGGAGAGAAACAGGCCCTGTCTGGAGAGACACTTTCCACTGTAATGGGACTGAATCCCATTTGGGACAGTGCCCTTTGACTGCTCTGGGGGTGTCCCCATGCTTGCCTGACAACAATGGTGTTTTTTGCTCAGGTGAGTTCAGGAAAAATGGATTAACTCATTTTGCCCCTTTTGTGTGACTTGGAAATGCAAAGCAGGGGAGCGCCTGGTAGTGACAAACTGAATTTCCTTCTGGAGAAACTATGGGTTCCCATGGAGGGATTCAGAGAGCTCTTCCTGCTCATGCAGAGCACGTTTCCCTGGGGCAGATGAGAGCCGAGCAGGGAGCAGGCATCTCTGCTGCTCCAAGGCATCTGGTTCAGACCTTGGGGCCACCACCAGGCTTGGGCTTCTCTGCTCTCTCCTGGGGCACAGGCCCAGGAGGGAACTGTGGGACACAGCTCCACTCGCTGAAGCTGTGAAAGATCCTCTGCTCCCTCCTGCAGCCCATATCCCCATTCCAGACTAGAGAGAACCTGGCAGACCCTGATCCAACAGCCTGCAGAATCTGCCATGAGCATGCCCAGCAGGAGCAATCCCTGAGGTTGAGCAGCACCTTGGGGCTGGGATTTGCCTTTGCTCATTGTCAGCATGAACCTCAAACTTGTCCTGTTTTGTAAAGAAGGCGCTCATCCTTCTGCTTCTTGCTAAAGACACAAGCTCCACATCCCAGATCCACAGGGATGTGGAAGGGCAGAGCCGTCCCAGCAGGAACCGAGTCCCAGCTTGGAGATGGAGCAAGGCTACTGCTCACCCTGTCACCCAGGCCTTGTACAGGCCACCACTTCCTCCTGATGAAGCTGCTCCGGATTCATTATTAAGGACATACCTAATGGCTCTGGGATTTGCCTTAACCTCCAATGCTTTCCCATTTCTGTCACTGAGATGATATTAGAACTCAGCAGGGTTCAGGGCCTGGAAAAGTAAATCCCTTGGAGAACTCCCATCCTTGAGCTGCTCACTGTGAGCTGGGTATGGATAGATGAGCTCCAGGGTGTCCAAAGGCATGAGAAATGGGAGACACAAGGCAGGGTGCAGGGCATTTCCCCTCTCTCTGAGCAGGACTCTCTGGACCCCTGCGTCTGGTGGATGGAGGGAGCCGCTGTGACAGGTGAGTGGAGATACCCCTGAATGGACATGGCTCCGAGTCTTAGATGACCAGTGGGACCTGAATGATGCCAGCGTGGTGTGCCGGCAGCTCCAGTGTGGAGAGGCAGAGCAAGCCTACAACCCACCAAAGGCTGAGTGAGGGACGGGCCCCGTGGGGCTGAGAAGGGCCCAGTGTGCAGGGAAGGAGACTCACCTGGCCCTTTGCAACACCTCCCTGCCTGTGACAGCACCTACAGGAATTGCAGAGGATGTGGGGGTGGTTTGCTCGGGTGAGTTGCTCTAACGGTCCCCAATGCGCTGTGTTCCCCAGGACTGCGAGCCCCTGACAGACGGGTTTCTCCTGTGTGCAGAGAGCCAGCAGGTGCGGCTGGTGCACAGGGCAGGGCGCTGTGCTGGAAGAGTGGAGATCTTCTGCAACGGCACCTGGGGGATCGTCTGTGATGACTCCCGGGACCTGCTGGATACCACCATTGTTTGCCACCAGCTAGGCTGTGAGGTGGCTGTGAATTTCACTGGCTCTGCTCATCACGGGGAAGGTTCTGGGCAGATCTGGCTGGATGACGTGAATGGCTCCAGGGATGAAGCTGCTCTCTGGGACTGGCCGGCCAGGCCCTGGGGGTAGCACAACTGCAGGCACAAAGAGGACGCAGGAGTCATCTGCTCAGGTCCGTGCAGGCAGCAGTGGCGGGAGCCTGGGGCTTCCAGGCATGAGAATGAGGGAGAAGCTGGACATGGTGGACCTGGCCCAACTGTCCTAAGCCCCCTTCCTGCCTGGTCCTGGGGACACCCATGCACAGTCCCCATTGGACCTACTCAGGGCTATAGGGAGAGCACGGGTTTCCCCACAGATCAGGGAGGAGGGTAGTGCTGCACATTCAACACCTCTCTGCTCACTTGGTGAAACTGTTTTGTTGGCAGTGCCCTCTGACTATCTGAGTCCTCGGATGTCTAGAAGAGTCTCTGCTCCTTAGAATATCCCTTCCTACTCATGGATGCCATAGAATGTCCTGGGGAATTGTCAGGGATGCTTTAAGTTTCTGTCTCCTCATGCCAGGACCAGCCCATTCCCCCCAGCTTTGTGTTTTTCTTTCCAGAGTCCATAGCCCTGAGGCTGGAGAACAGTGATGGCTGCTCTGGGCGCCTGCAAGTTTTGTACAACGGGACATGGAGGAGTGTTTGCTCCAACTCGATGACTCTGAGTACCGTGTCTCTGGTGTGCAAACAGCCGGGCTTTGGAGATGGAGGATTCCTTGAAACAGGCCTGCCATGTGGCAAGGTATCCGGCCACACATGGCTGGATCATGTTGAGTGTGGGAAGAGGAACAGCTTCTTTTGGCAGTGCCCCTCTGATCCCTGGAACGCACACACCTGTGATGACCAACAAGAAGAGACCCACATTACCTGCAATGGTAATGCTGGAGCCACATGTGTGCAAAGCTCACAGCAGGTCTTGCTCCCTGTTCAGCAAGTCACCATGTTGAGAAGGATCAAGGTTATGTAGGAACCAGGACATGCCAGGCAGTGCTGGCACGAGAGCTCAGAACAGCCTCCCTCTGGGGACATACTTCTGCTCCTCTGCTATCCAGTGAAACTTTTGGGGTGCGCAGCCAGGGTAACCCTGGAACTCACCACTGTTATTTATACACTACATTATTGGGGCGTTCACTTGTGTCCATGAGCAGGGAGAGGTACTGGGAGGTTCAAGCACAGGTCAGTCTTGATCCTGTCCACATGACCCCCATGAAGCAGCTTCTTCCTTCACTTCAGCATCTCCTTCATCAGGGAGATGACCAGAAACCCTCCAGCCCTAGCAGCCAAGTGCCCCAACGCTACAAACTGCACAGGTAGCTGCTCCTCCCTGTGCCCTTCTTGCCTGGCCAGACCCTCCCAACTACACCAGCGACACGGAGGCTTCTGTGTTCTCCAGAGATGGAGAAGATTTGTGTTGTGGGAGGAGATGATGGCTGCTCAGGAAGAGTGGACGTTTGGCACAACAGTACCTGGGAGACGGTGTGCCATGCCTCCTGGGCCATGAAGGATGCCAAGGTGGCCTGCAGGCAGCTGGGTTGCGGTCCTACCATGTCTGCCCTGGGAGGGCCTGTGTTTGGGGAGGGGTCTTGGCTGCAGCAAGTGGAGTGCGGAGGGACGGAATGGTCTCTCTGGGACTGCAAAGTGCAGTGTGGGAACAGCGGTGCCTGCCAGCACAAGGAAGATGCTGCTGTGACGTGCTCCGGTGAGTGGCAGTGCTTGGTCCCCGTGTTTGGGGGGATGTTTTCCCAGCTGGAAAAACATAGGGTCCCAGAGCTCCTCAGAGCAAGGATGTCCCTGCAGAAGTTGGGTATCTGGTGCTGGGTGGGGAGCAGCTGTTGTGGAGCAGGGTCTCCTCAGGCCTCTGCCTGTGGGGTTCTGCAGCCCCCTGAATGCTTGTCCTGCGCTGCCAGTGCTGTCCTCCCCATGCCCCAGAACAGAGAGCTCAGGGCCTGTCACGGGCACCCAGAGAAGGACTGTTCTGATGGCACTTGGAGGAGACATCCACAGGCACAGCCACATCTCTTTTCCTGCTCTGCCGCTGCACCCAGGATGACAACACAAGCCCCACGAGCAGGTAACCTGCCCTCCTCCCTGGGTTGGGTCTCCCTGGGGCCAGTCTGTGACCTGCAGCCCGAGGGAAGGGCTGGGGTGCAGGGCCCAGAGAGGAGACCCAAGGGTGGGAGCTGGTGGCTTTATGGAGGGCTGTGAGTCACTCAGCAGTATGAGAGCTGCCCCATGACCCAGCACAGGGTCCTCCAGCCCTGCCATGTGTGAGGGGTCAGGACTGGGGTGTCCCTGGGCCCCCACCTGCCCCAGGCAAGGGCCTGCCTCATCCATGCAGATCCCGCCTAGAGGTGTGTGAGGGAGAATGGGGGAGTCTCCATTCCTGTTGTCATCTGAATCATCCTGGAGGCCCTGCTCTGCCTGCTCCTGGCCCTCCTGACAGAGCAAGTGCGAAGAACCAGGACTCAGAGCAGAGGTGGGTCCTTCCCCAGCGGTGCCAGGGTGACGATGCCTCTTGGCAGCCCTGTGGTGGCTGTGGTGTGTGTGTGAGGGCACAGAGGGGGCTGGGGTGGGGGTGCTGCCTTCTGCTCTGTTCCTTGTTCCTTCACTGTCTGTTTGTGGGACACCCGCAAGCAGGAGTTTTGGGAGCGCTGATGCAGGAAGAGATGGTGATGTGGGAGGAAAGAAAAGGCAGTGAGGGGCTGGGGGAGATGGGAGCAGAAGGGTATGTCCAAGGACGCTGCTGGCTGTGCTCTGGACAGCGCGGGGGGAAGGCTGTGGGGCAGAAGCGGTGCCAAGAAGAGCTCAGGGCAGGGGGTCTCTCAGAGTGGGACTCGGTCCCTGGGCTGCTCCCTCTGTCCTGCCCTGTTCACCCAGGTCAGGGCAGGGCCATGTTATGGACCCATCTGACAGACCGCGAGAAGCTCCCTGGGGAGAGGAGCTGTGGGAGCTGCTCCCTGGTCAGAGCAGGGACTGACTCGGGCCAAAAGGGACATTGTGGGGTGACTCTGAAGAGACAACATGAGGTGACATTGCCCCAGACCATCTCTACAGGGCTGTTGCTGTCACTGGGGATCTGAACGTAGTGCCTGGACAGAGCAGTGGGTCTGGGCTGTGGGGTGAGTGCTGGTCTGGCCAGGGTGGAAGGGCTGGGTGCCCACACTGTGGTCCTTCTCCTCTCTCCATGTCCCTGTGTTGATCCTGCACATGTTCATAGGCTCTAGGAGGTCTCTGGAGCCCTTCTCTGAGGTTGTGTACCAGGAGATCGACTACAGACAGATGTGGGAGAAGCAGGTGAAGTTCGGTCCTCCAGGTCTGCGTGGTGGATTCTGGAAGAGAGCACATTGCAGGGCCCTTTCCACTGGCCCTAACCCACAATGGGACTGTCTCAGTCCTCATGCCAATCGTCCCCTCAGTGCTGGGTCCTGTGATCAGTGGTCATCCAGTCCAGCTGGAGGCCAGTTCTCAGGAACATAGACCAGGGGTCAATACTGGAGCCAGCACAAGTTCAGTATGAGCCAGGATCAGGCCCTCAAAGCAAAGAAAACAACTGCATCTTGGACTGTATTAGGAGTTTTGCCAGCAGCTCAGAGGAAGTGATCCTTCCCCCTCTATTCTGCACTGCTGAGTCCACATCTGGAGTGCTGTGTCAAGTCCCAGGTGCCCCAGCATAAAAGAGACATGCACCTGCTGGAGCAAGTCCAGGTAAGGGCCGCAAGGATCGCTGAGGGACTGGAGCATCAGTTACATCAGGAGAGTCTAAGAGAGCTGAGATTCTTCATTCTGGAGAAAAGAGTGGTGTCTTACCAAAGTAATTATCTCATGGATGGCAGTAAAGAAAATGGAGCCAGACTCTTCTCAAAGGTATCCAGGGACAGAGCAAGAGGAAAGAGACACAACATGAAATACAAGAAAATCCTTTTAAACTTAAGAGGGAACTTTTCTACAGTGAGGGTAATTGAACATTGAAACAAGATGCCCAAGGAGGTTGCGGCATCTCTATGTTTGAAGATGTTTAAAACCAAACTGGAAATGGTCTTAAGCAAGCTGCTGAAGTTGACTCTGCTTTGCACAGGGAGGTTGGACCAGATGGTCTCCAGATCGTCTCATTTCCAGTTCAAATATTCTACAACTCTACAAATCCACTCCAGACACTATTAGGCATAGATGCATGATAATAAAATATCTAACACCTATTAGGCCTTGGCAGGCCTATCCAGCAAAAAGTATCTGCAATGGCCTTGCTGAAGCCTGAGCAACCCAGTTATACAGTTCTTTGCAAAAGAATGAACTCTCTGTGCCACTAGAGCTTCCGTTTCTGCGATGATTTATGCCCTGTTGCCACTTATCACATCCTGATCATCCATACGGCTGTAGTTCAGTGAAAGACAAGTCTTTCACAGACAAAGGTATCTAAACTCCGTAACTGCCTCACTTGAGCAGAGTTCAAATCAGCAGAGTCTGGCACTCTGTTGCTCTGTCTTCTGTCCCACCACTACAGGAATAAAATTGCTCTGAATTGAACCTAAATTGTATTCTGGTTATTCCATGACAATAGGTATTTTACAGACTATCTGAGATACCAAAGATATAAGGTTGTCATGGAAGAACCAGAATCATAACATCAGCTCATTAGACAGGAAAGACCATGTCAGATAAGGAATGGAAACCAAGGAGAAAAACAACAACAGAAAGTCAGACATTGAAATTTCTATGATGACTCTTAAACTTTGAGCAATTATTGATATACTTCATATTAGTAAATGCATCTTTCATGTGTTTTTCTTCTTGGAAAGCCTTTACTTCAAATGGATGAAATCAAACCAAAGATGATGCTTGAGTGCTTTATTCCTATATTCTCCAGTGCTTAGTTGTATAAAGGAGCTGCTAGTAAAAAAGTTTTGACTTCACTGTCATTTCAAAAGTAGTACAGATTTACACTAACTGTGGATCAGTATATCACAGAAACCACAGACTTGACTTTTCCACTTTTCATTTCTTTTTGTCAAAAGAGCCATATTCAATATTTCAAAATGCATTTATGAGCACTTTGGAAAAAAAAAAAAGGATATTTACATTATTGCATGTTTCTTCTTCATTACAGTGAAAGTGACCCAAAACATGCAAAGGCTTTCTTAGTCCTCTCATGGCCCTACTGCCATCATCCTGTCATCCTGTGCCTCTAGCAATCCCTTCTAGATCCTTCCACCTAGCTTACTTCCTCCTACATCCCATGATTTCCAGGGTCCCCTCGAAAGGTGCAGTCAGCATAGCACCACATTTGCAATGAGGACTGCATGGCATTCATTTTTAAGACAGAGGGCCTGAAGTTGTGTTTGACATGAATGTAAAACATGAAAAAACCTTATGTGCTTTGGTTCAATTAATCTTTCCCTGGAGAGCTCTATAGAGACAGGATGGGCAGAAGAAGAAAGGACAAAGAGGCAGAAGAAGATATGGGAAGGAGTAATGAGTACAAATTGAAACACAGGAAGTTTCATCTCCATATGAGGAAGAACTTCTTTGCTGTGAGGGTGACAGAGCCCCAGGACAGACTGCCCAGAGAGGCTGTGAAGTCTCCTCTGGAGATCTTCAAAACCCACCTGGACGCCACCCTGTGCAATGTGTTGTAGGTGTCCCTCTTTGTGCAGGGGGGTTGGAATAGATGATCTCTAGAGGTCCTTTGCAGCCTCAACCATTCTTTGATTCTCTGAAATTCTGTGAAATGTGGCAATATAGATGGAGTAATTCCTCAGAACTTCTCCATTTGGAGTGTTGGTGGGAAATGCATTCTGATGACACACTGTACATATATATATGTATATAGGTATATCTGTGTCCATGTCTTTATCTATACATAATGACATAAGGTGAGTAAATGCTGTAGCACATCGTATAGTGCTACCAATAAAAAAGGGAAAAAATCATTTAACCTGAGTGCTTACTATCCTAAATTTTTCTTACATTTGAGAGAGTTCTACACCTCTGGGTGGGCAGCTCTGGGGAGGAGTATTTGCAGGGATATATGCAGTATTTTCTTCCTTCCTTCCTTCCTTCCTTCCTTCCTTCCTTCCTTCCTTCCTTCCTTCCTTCCTTCCTTCCTTCCTTCCTTCCTTCCTTCCTTCCTTCCTT